AAAATAATAATAGTACTTACATAGGAAAGAAGTAATTTCAATGGTATTGAAAACTGGTGAAATCCTGGTTTTGGAAGGGCTGCTGGGAGTTGCTAAGATGTTCAGGATATGAGTTGACAGCCTGTAAGGTGACTATACCAATTTCCTTGATTTTGCAGAGCTGAATGAGTTGCTTTGTTCCTTAGACTATACACATGGAAATATAAATGGTTGCTCTGTGACACAGATGCTATTAATATAAAGAAACTTATCTGGGCTTTCAGGAAAGTATAAACTAGAATTTTCTCAGAAAGGGTGTGGATACAGAACAGTCTGTGGTTGCCTGTATGGAACAGAGCTGGACTGTTTCAAATACCCTCAAAAGGCACCTTATTTTTAGAACTGAACTAATATTACTTATTTGTTGACATAATTTAACTTTTTCATATTTTTAAGAGACATAGCAAATTATGTGCTCTGCCTCTGGATTAAGAGATGAAGTATAAATTATGTACCCCTGGCTAAATTCATGTTTTGTCCATACTTTGAATGGTGAAATTTTGCTTCCTTTTCTTCCAAAAATGTAATAGAAATTGCAACATTGCAACATGACTGATGAGAGTATGGAATGGTTTCCAGGCTAGGAATAAAGAAAACTGAGAAGGAAGAGTATATTAAAAAAAAAAAAAAGAGTAGCACCGCCAGGATTGACATGAATTGACAGTTCATCATCTGTGCTAGTAACAAATTCAGGATTCACACAAAGATGCTCTCAGAACTGGGTTCAGGACAAGCCAAAGGAGATGAATTTCACTCAACAGGCTGTCCCATGTGCTGGGAATACAAGATGTTTCCAGGATTTTAAGAGTAGGCTGCACAAACATATGGAAGAGCAAAAGCCTTCAAGTTATTAATTAGACAGACAACATCTGCCTTGGGATAGGTGAAGGGTGAGAGGGTTTTAAAGGAATCCTTTGTGGATTTTTTCCATTCTTCCTTTTCCCTAGATGCCAGGCCATGATCACCAGGAAGTCAGAAATGTGACTGAGAGAGCCCAGCTCTGAACCAGTGCAGACATTCTGATGTCATTAGTTATTTTTAAATATCGATGATGATTTCCTAAAGATGGAGCATGGCAGGAAATAACTGGGTGAGCAAACCTTACCTCTCTGAAAGGTCTCACAAAAGTAAACCCAATGAATTTCTGAGCTGTCTCATTCTTCAAGAGTTTGCAGACCCAAGATCTTAACTGTTTAATTCAAATGTGAGATACTGTATATGAAGTTTGACCATATGTGCCTCCTTTTAAATTTGCACTCCACCTATTAAGAAATTACATTTTTGTCCATGCTGCAGCGTTTGCTGAGCATTTGATTCACTATTGTGCCCCACTGGAATCAGGTAACTAAGGATTTGTGCACTCCACAAGTGCGAAATCTTATCAGAATTGTGTAGCAGCACAATGCTAAAGTGTTATAAAACAGATTAAAGCATTTGGATTTTTCCTGGCCTTCTACTTGTTAAATATAAAACCATAGACTTCTGTTATTCAGACAGACCAGAGAGCTACAAGTAAATTTGGATTACAAGTCGTATCAGCAGCAGCTAAAAAGGTAAACCAGTAAAAAATTTGTGGGAATGTCTCTGAATGGCTTGCACTATGCTTACCTAGCTCTGCATTATTTTCTGACCAATCTCAAGTATTCTGGAATTTTTCTGGCTTATTCTTAAGAAATACATCTGGGCTATATTAGGAAAACTGAAAGAAAAGAAAGAAAAGAAAGAAAAGAAAGAAAAGAAAGGAAAGAAAGAAAGGAAAGAAAGGAAAGAAAGAAAGGAAAGAAAGAAAGGAAAGAAAGAAAGAAAGGAAAGAAAGGAAAGAAAGGAGAGAAAGAAAGAAAGAAAGAAAGAAAGAAAGAAAGAAAGAAAGAAAGAAAGAAAGAAAGAAAGAAAGAAAGAAAGAAAGAAAGAAAGAGAAAGAAAGAAAAAGAAAGGAAAGTCAGAATTGAGTCCTAAATGTTGATGAAGTAGTTAGATGCAAACTACTCGGGAATTAAACGTTTCTAGGTTATTTCTGATGCTGATGCTTCATCTCCAGCATGATTCTGATACAGCAATTTGGATTTGTTACACCAATTGACTGCAAAGAAAGAAATGTCAAACCCTCACACAAATGTCCTTTCTCTGACAAGCTCTCTCTCCTTTGAACTACAACAACGAGGACAACATTGTTTTGCTTTGCCACAGACGTTCCCCTAAGTTTTCTGAAGGCTTCAGAGGTTCGGTGGAATTTGGCAAGAGGTATTTGGCCTTTTGTGTTTGCCTTTAATTGCTGCACCCCAGGGCCACTGGAGGAGCAGAGGGCGCAGGAGCCTGGCTGGTTGTCACAGCCTGCACAAGTTTGCATGCTCAGGAAAGATTCTCTTTCCAAATGTTTGTCTAACTCCTATGCCTGGCAGCTTAAAGAGCTGCTGCCCTTCCACATGGTGAATAGGTGCTTATATTTCTATATTATGGGCTAATAGAGAAAATAAATGTTTATTGGGCTGTTGGTAATGGTTACACTGTCACAGTTTGGGTTACAACCTTAGGTATTTCTGTCAGCTCTCTTTCAACAACAAACAAATTCATCTGCTTGGTTTGGCTATGCCATGGCTCATTTCAGGATGAGCATCTAGTTATAAGTTTCTTTAGATGTGCAGACCTTCAAAAACTATGGACAAGCTCAAATATTCACGAGGCACCAGCCCACTAACTTCAACTGCAACAGTGGTGAACCCATTAATCAGACCTTTATAGCAGTGAGATAACCTTCTATGTGTACAGCTCTGTTAAAAACATATATTTAAAATTAGAAAATTAAAAAAAAAAACTGTGTGTTTTGAGATGGAATGTCATGGAATGTCTACTAACATAAATACTTTTATAGCCACATAAAAATAGAAACATGAAACACTTCGTTTTTCCATAGGTCTGTTAAGCAACAGCCAGTGCTTTTATTAATATACCGTTTCTCTTTTTAATTGCACTTTTATTTAGAAAAAAATCACAGTCCTAACTTATGAGGAAAGTTAAATGGACTCATACAGAAAACTCAAAATGCAAACAGACATGCCTCATTCCTCTAAAACAAGAGACTGGTTCCTTATATGGCAGTAATTTTTTTAGTCTTAGGGAGCCATTTGTTTCCCTTTCTCTCTTGAAAATAATTAAATAAATGGAAGTTTGCCCCACTTCCCCCCTCACATATCCACATACATGCACAGGACCAACAAAACTCAGTAATTTTCCACTGGCACCACAGCCTTTCAGTGCTTGCCATCTGCTGTGCTGGCAGGACCCACCAGAGGAGCTCCAGCAGCAAGGCAGGAACTGGAACGTCACGTTGTGAATATTTATTCCATTTTCATTGTCACAGCTGGGCCTCCTCATCTCTCCCAGGCTGACCTTGCCTCCCCTGACTTCCCTGTGGCAGCTTTTGGGAACAGACATCCGGAGTAAGGTACTGAAATCAAAGCTTACAACTCACAAATACCCAAAATCTCCAAAAAAAACCAGTCCCATTCCTGCTAGGGGGTAGGGATGTCTCTCACTCCCACTGACCACTGTTACTGACACAGATTTTTAAGGACTTCTGCTCTGGGAAGAGAACTTTAGTGAATACCAGTTTTCTAGATCCATAACCACTTTATTTTGAATTTATTTATCGTAGAGTGTCTTTTCCCCTCTTGCTAATTCTGTTTCTGGGTTGTGTGACCATGCTTCCAACATGGTGAACATGAGTGCACAATGTCATTAGCTCAGGCTTCAAATGTGGGACTGGGGCTCAGATGTCCCAAAGGACAGCCGGTCTCTTCAGGAAGCGCTCCTGCACCTCATCCAAGTTAAAATGTGCATATTTTAGGCTTCTGTTATTTCAAACCTACCAAATCTAATGCTTTCAAAAGCTGGTTTCAGCAAGTAGGTTCACAGTACTCTGTGAGCTCCACGGTGGATTCTCTGGATCTGCTGCAGATCCTGAAATTGTGAGGTCTCTGGGCAAGAAATCTGCCTTAGTGCACAGAACTCCTAAGTTCCTTATCTCTACATAAAGACTAACGAGGTAAAATAAATCTGTCAGTTTAAGTCCTCCTCATCAGCAACTCTCCTCAAGTCAAGTGATGACATCAAGACAAATTTTCCCTCACTTCCACATGGTCCACGTCGTGATGGGAGCAGATAATTGTCCTTTGTCATTCCTCCAATGTGAGCTGACAGATTTGCCTTCTGCATAGCTGAGGCCAGCCTAACTCCCGACTGTGAGACCCTTTGGTGAGTCCCGACTGGCAGAACTCGCTGAGTGCCAAAGTTTATGCTGGGCTGGGGGGACAGGATCTTGGGGCCAGCAGCTGAGGGGTGATGCTGCCCCTCTGCCCAGCCTGTGTGCACATCTGGAGCGCTGGGTCCAGCTCTGGGCTCCACAGCACAGCAGGGCCATGGAGCTCCTGCAGCGGGGCCAGTGGAGGCTGCCGAGAGGATTCGGGGCCTGGAGCAGCTCTGGCAGGGAAAGGCTGAGGGAGCTGGGGCTGTGCAGCTGGAGAGGAGCCCCAGCTGAGAGGGACCCTCAGCCCTGGGTGTCCCTGGCTGCAGGGAGGGCTCCGAGCAGGGCCCAGGCTCTGCTCTGGGGCCCAGCAATGGCACCAGAGCCACGGGCAGGGACTGAGCCCAGGAGGCTCCACCTGGGCAGGAGGCACAGCTTCTGTCCTGGGCAGGGACCCAGCCTGAACAGATTGTCCAGAGAGGCTGGGGAGTCTCCTCACTGGGGATATCCCAGACCCCTCTGGACACAATCCCGTGCCCTGTGCTCTGGGATGGCCCGGCTGGAGCAGGGGAGCCCCGTGGCACCCCAACGTCCCGTCCCGTCCCGTCCCGTCCCGTCCCGTCCCGTCCCCTCCCGGGACGCCGCCGCCGGCGCGGCGGGGCGGGGCGGGGCTGGGCGGGCGCGGCCAATGGCGGCGCGGGGCTCGGCGGCGCGCGGCTCTCGCGAGAGCCGGCGGGTAAACATCGGCCCCCGCCGCGGGCCCGCCCGCTGCCATTAGCGCGGGGGCGGCGCCGCGCTCGGACGGGCGGGAGGTGAGTCCTGAGCCGAGCCGGGCGCTGAGGCGAGCCGGGCACCCTCCGCCCCGGCGCTGCCCGCGGAAGCAGCCGCGGCGCGCTGCCGCTGGAGAGCGGCAGTCTCCCCCCGCCTCCTCTCTTCGCTCCCCCCTGCAGCGTGAGGCAGCAGGAGCAGCCATCGCCGCGGAGGCTGTGGGAGCGCAGCTTCGGCTGCGGGGACGGTCGGGGGTGGCTCGGGGCTGCGGGGCGCTTCGCCCGCCCGCCCCTCGGGTGACTGGTGTCCCTGCCCGCGGGGTGAGCCGCGGCTCGTCCCGCAGCCCCGGGAGGCTGAGGTGCCCGGGGTGCCGGTGCGGGGACAGGCGAGCCCGGCGCGGGCAGCGGGGCCGGGGCTGCGGAGCCCCCGAGGCCGGGGCAGGGCTGGGCTGCGCTCCTGCCACGGAACGTGCCCTGGGCTTAAGGGTGTCCTGCCCCCTTTAGAAATAAATAAATAAAGGGACGAAATTATCTCCGTAATGCGCTTAGAAAAGCAAACAGCCTTCACAAGTTTCCACTCGCGGGAGGAGCAAATCCCAAACCTTGTGCCGAGCCGGAGGAGTTCGGGACTGCGGCCGCCGTGGTGGGGCTGTCCAGCTCGTGCTCTGTGTCTTTGGACGAGTCTCATTGACAATTCTCAGGTAAAAGTTAAATGCCGGGAACTTGCAGAGGTCGTGCGGTTGTGGTTTGGTTTGACTTGATGTGGAACGCCTTGGGTTAGAAGAGTTCACACGCGTGCCTCCTGTGCTGATGTACCTGGCTTCCTCTCGCGAAATCCACACTGCCTTGATGTACCCTCTGAATCAAAAGCAACGCCGACGTTTGATTTTTGGGTTTGTTGTGGTTTTTGTTGTTGATTTTTTTTGTTGTTTATTTGTTTTTTTAAGAGAAGTTTCCTCTAAGATACTTGGTGGGATGTATTGCTTCTGCTTTTACCTTCTTTTTGGAGAGCAGTGGGTTTTTTGTTGACTAGCTGTTGGGGTTTGTCAGGTGTACTGATTCAGTATTTTGATTACAGTTTTTTAAAGTCACTTAAAGCAGAGGGATCTTGTTTATGAGTGTTTATGATGCTAATAAATCTCACTAGAGTTGTGCCTGGTCCATAAAAGATGCCTGGAATCTGAAAAATTGTTTTCATTCCTTCTCCTTCAGGGATGAAAGAATATCAGCTTTTATTTTGACACAGAAGAGTGAAAAGAAATAGGAGCCCACAGGCTACTGACCTGAGAGGTGATGATCAGTGGGCACCTTCATTGCCTGTGAGGAATCTGTTACTGTATCCAATAGAATTGTTGCAGTTTTATCTTCTGTGCCACATGTAGACATGTTTTCCTGGCTTTGTCGAGAAATATCTTAGATAGGAAAAGTCACATTTGCATAGCTGTGGGAACTAATTTGTTTTTCATAATGTACATGGCATACTCTTCAATTTAAATATTTTTGCTTAACAGAGCTTTAAAAAAATTCTAAACACTTATTTCTCAAACATTTCAGGGGAAAACAAATCCCAAGCCACTAGCTAAGCAGAACTCAAAGGCAAATGTTTGCAGAGGACAGGTATCATGCTTTGTTTCTTTCTGCCCTTTTTTTCCAGAAGGTTAGTCTGTCTTAAAAAAAAAACAGCAAATGCACACCCCATCATTAAGTTACAGTGGACTTGGACCAGGCCTATGGTCTTGGTGAGGGAATGTTCCCAGGAGAACAGAACTTCTGGGTTTCTGTCAGATGGTCTCTTGTGGACCTGCTTGTGTGAGCTGCCCTTGGGTGGTCTGATCTGCAGTGGAGTCCCTGGTGGGACTGTCCTGGGTTGGAGCAATGTGGGATGTCACACTGGAGTTCAGTGCATGTGCCTGAGGTGTGCTCATTTTGAATGGTGGGTAGGAGTTTTTTTAATCATTTAGGTTACTACTGTAGTTTGGGATGGCTCTTGAATCCTGTAGTGACCACAAGGAGCTTTGTCACTGTCTGTGTCCACTGGATCTGTCTAGGCAGTGGGTTTGTCTTGCTTTCAGAGGTTATCTCCTCCCTACAAATTCAGTTTTCGCTCAGTCTGTGTTTATTCCAATAAAAAAATTGTTCTTCCCACCAAGTTTAAGCTGAGCATTAGGTAAAATGTGAAGCCAGTTGATAAACTTTGATATTTGTATTCCAGGAGGTGCAGGGTAGACATGGAAATTGCAATGAAAAGAATTGCTTCTCTGAATGCAGTATTCATCAGCACAAAGCCTGCTAAGCTGATATTATATGGTAAATGGTTTGCTTTTAGTCTCCCAGAAAGAGGCTTTGTGTCTTAGGGTAATGGCAGTTGACATAAATCAAACATACAATTGTCCACAAAATCATTTAATCTTCTCTTGTTGCTTGTTTCAACATATAGCAGCACTTAGAGCAGACCTGCCACTAGTGGTAATTGCATTGCTGTGGCTTGAAAATACGGGTTTTATAAATAAATGGAGTATAATTTTTGAGATGGGTTGGTGCAGAATTTTTCCAAGTCTGGTGATTAAATAACAGCTTTTGCTGTGCAAAAAATTTTTATACTGGGGTAAGCCACTTTAGTATTGTGGGGTAGGAACTCGGGGAATAGTTACTTATTTTGTGCTATGAATTTAAATAGGGAACTGTATTTAAGGTGGCAGAGTCTTGTCTTGAAGACTCAGAAATTAGTTTTCAAATGCAGCAGAGCAGACTTTATAATTTAATTAGTGAAGAAAATTCTGCAAGTCTGTAGTTTAAAACTACAGAATAATTTCTGGTAGTCCCACTTTTCCAGTATTTGCATTGGGAAATGATAGAACATTTTCCTCTTAACAATATAAAACAAAGCAGGAAGTAGGGGAAGAAATAAATGATCAAGAAAAACTCAGTTTCCGTGTCATAAATAAATTGAGCAGTATGGGAAGCATTAAAATGGGCAGTTATCGTAGTCAATACTGCTTTACTTGTGAAATCAGGTAATCTTGTAAGGCATGCATTGATATCTCATTAAATACTTCCTACAGATTAAAAAAGTGAAGGGAATGGTGGCTCAGGAAATAATATTAATTTTTATGCTTCAAATATCTGATTTCTTGGTAATTTAGGTGTTGGATTTTATATTCTGGTTTGAACTGTAGACTTGAAACTTAGTTTCTTGCATGTCATTAATATTTATACCTACAAACTTGCAAATATGTTAGCTGACCCATGGTTTTATGAGAATTACAACTGTTAAGAATGTGAAGAAAAGAGAGACCTAGAATTTAGAAGACTACTTCTATGGGATTTTGATTGTCTAAGGAACAGTTGTCTTTGTTTTTACTAGTAAAAGGAGCAGTAGTTGATTAAAATGGTAGCCTGGCTTTATGGAATTTCACAGGGGTGAGAATGTCCTGAAGTAGTAAAAAGGGAATCAACTATTCACTTTTTAGTAACAGCAAACAGCCAAGATGGAGTAATAGTTTGGTGTGTGCAGGTTGTGCAAACAGATGAAGTTTATCAAAGGTGACAGAATGAATGGGAGGGAGGAAGTAAAGGGATAACTTGAATTTGTATGGGAGAGGAAGAGTGTTTACTGTATTGCAACTTACATTAGCTGTGTCTCTTATGTTCCAGAGTTTGAGCCTGTGATCACTGGCATGCTGTAGAGGAACTCTTAGCAAACACCTTGGCATGTTGGAGTGTGTTAAATTTCCTTCCACAGATGGAGAAACAAAAAATATTTTTCTTGTCTTTGACCAGATGAAAGGTTGTGAAACCTTTTTCTACTTCGTGTAATAAAGAGAGCTGTTTACATTTCTGAGAGCACTATGTGTAATGTCACATTAAGTACTGCATTTATAAAATGTGCCAAGGTATTTTAGCAATTAAATCTCCTGGTAGGAAAACAAAACCCAGCCTTCTCAGAGAGTTGTACTTGGTTGAAGGCCCTTTTTATGAGCCACTGTAGTAGAAGAATGCTTATGAGAAACACAGTTGTGTATCAGTGTTAAAATGAAGATACTGGGTCACACCAAACCATAGGAGTGGCAAAGACACTCAGCTTCCATTCACAGGAGTGTATGGAAGGGGCAGTAGTCATAACCTCCATTCCCATAACCAAGGGACAAGGAGGGAATGAAAGTCATCACTTCAGTAGGCACCTCACTACCCTGAATGGCTGCTGAAGGCAGAAACAAGGAAGCAAAGGGGCTTGGCAGGAGCAGCTCAGTGTGCTTAGGGGATTCTGCTGCTGCTACAGGCTCCATGGCCCTGTCTCTGTTGCAGCAGAGAGGGAGATAGCTTTTTGGCATGCTTGTGCTGTGCTATGAACTTCCTAAGAACCTCCCCAAAAGAACAGATGGGGGGGCCTCTTCCTGCCAGATCACTGCCACTTTGGAGACTCTTGAGTCTGTTCTGTGGGTAAAAAGTCTCAGTGTTTTTATGACTTCACCAGTAAAAACCTACTTACATCTGAACTGATAGGTAAATTCCAAAGGGTATTTCCTTGTCTGCAGGAGGGCTGTTGTGTACAAACCAGCCAAGATGTAGATGGCCTCAGCACAGAACCCTTTAGCCTTTACTTGGGATCAGATGTCTTGGATTTCCATGGATCACACCTATGCACAGAGGAGGGGACAGGATGCTGGTGTCCCGGTATTGCCCCTTCATTTCCCAGGGCAGAGCTGCCTCTTTAGCTGACTGGCTACATTTGAACCAGACTGGAGAAGGCAGGGGTGGTTCATAGGCTTCAGTGTTCCACTATTTCCCATAAAAACTGAGGAAAACATTTCAGGAGAAATACCCTTTTCCCAGATTAGCCCAGTAGAAATGGCAGATCTTACACGAATGGCATCAGGCTCCTTTTGCCTCTTGTAGATTGGAGAAGTGTTTATTACCAGCATTTCTTAAAATTTGTTTTAATTACTTTTTACAATAAACAGTTGCATAATGTGTTCCCTGCCCTTCCCTCTTGCTGGTGCCTTATAAGGGAGGTAACCAGAACAGCAGCCAAATATCAGCCTGAT